TTTGAAGATTGGCGAATAAACTCGTATCCGTTCGGCCCACCGCTGAATACCAGCGGTGGGACGGCCATATCTCGCCGCGTTGCTAAGCGTGTGGGGATAGAGTCTATCCCCACATGCCTAGCAGCGCGGCGAGATACGACTGGCACGATCGCCCTACCGCTGGTATTCAGCGGTGGGCCGGACAGATACGCGCTTATTTGTCAATCTTCAAAAATTAATATCTCGTTAACGATTGCGAATTTTGCAAAATTGTAGAGGACTTTTCAATCCAGTTTAATCTGCTCTACCAACCCACGAGATATTATCCGGTTATTACCGGACACCCTGTATAATATACACGTGTGAGTGATTCCATTTTCACAAGAAGCTCAAGCACTAATTGCTGCACATCGCGCAAGGACAGACGCACACACGTATACGCACGCACGCACGCATACCGAAGATATGCACGATGCAGAGATATGCGCGCGGCCATCTACATGAATGTGTGAGTAAAGAACGGCGCATGAAAAGGTGTATAATGTATAGTAAGTACAATGAACGGTACATGATTGCACACAGTAACGAGAGTGCTAACTTCCGGTTAGCGCACGTGTTTCGCGAAACAGAGCTGCGGGGATTTTTCGACAATGTGTATAGGACGTGGGGGGGGAACGGAGTCATTGGAGGGGAGCGAGGGACGACTGTCCATTTTGATTCTGTACGAATATTACTTGTCCGGGTGTGTAGACATTCGTAATTGTATCGGTTTTAATTACAACTAGGAATTTTCTGGACCAAAGTCAGAATATCGACAATAGTGAAACTAATTAACGGGTGTGCACTAATTAGAGCCGGTATATCACACGAACGAGAATTTGCGACTGCGGATGCATCCGGCTGAATATATTCTGCGGCTTTGTTCAGTAGCCAATTTGTAATATTATTTTATTATCATCCCTTTGCGTTTAATAGTTTGGCAATTAATACACGCATACGGCGCGTCTTCACTTATAAATTTATTAATATCTGATCGATTTAATATTCGTACAGCTTTAACAATTGTATAATAATTTTTTGCATGTCGATAAAACTGTATAATTATTTAGGATTGCCCTCACTTCCGATAACGGTGGA